AAATTGTTTATTAATGTTTTAAAATATAAAAAATTTTTTCTTTAAATTTTAATATAATTTGTTAATATATAATAATTATTAAATAAATTTTAATGAAAATTCGAATATTTATAAAATATTTTTACAATATATTTATTGTATATAATTATTATAAAAAATCGTTCCATTTGAAAATATAAAAAAAAGAATAATGCTAATATTGACTAGAATTTTCAGAGAAAATTGTTACACAATTTATAAGGTAAATAAAAAATATCATTTGTAAATCAATCATTTATCATAAGTTAAATACAAGAAATACATATTCCATGATTCTTTTAAAATTTATAAGTACTTTTTAAATGATTATTGCTTTAATATTTACAATGTAACAATATATATTTATACTATTTTTTCAAAATTTTGTTTTTTGTAATGACAATAAATGATACTCCTTTAAATTTAGAAATCTATTTTATACCATCAATCTATTATATTAAGCTAGAATGCATAAAAATTGTTTATATTACAAATTCGTAAATATTTATGAACACAACTTTATAAAAATATATTTGAATAATAATAAAAAAATTCATTTTATTTTATATGCTTTTATTTTGATCTAATATTATATATGCCATCATAGTTTTTCCCTTGAATAATTTTGCATTCTTTTTAATTTTTTTAATGCACATTTTGCTGCAGTACATTTTGCAATCCTATAATTTCTTCCAATTCCTTTAAAAGATCCCTTACCAAAAACATCCACTGTAACTCTAACTCTTCGTCCATCAGCTAATTTTTCTGGTTTTCCAAATTTTGCTGTTTCAGGTTCTAATTCCAGTAATTCACGAATTGGAGATTTAGGAACATTTGTGCTAAATTGTTCTTTAATAAAATATCATACGTTTGTCTTTTTTTATAAAATATATATACATAAAACAAAAAAATTTGTTAAATTACCAATTTCATTTTTCATAATAGCATAATAAACACTCCATACTGCATCCAAGGACATTCCACTATCTAAATAAATTGCACCAGCTAATGATTCAAAAACATCACCTAATGCTTTTGGTACTTC